ATCGCCGGAGCCCAGCAGGTCGAGGCTGTGGTGGCCGGGAGTGGCCACTACACTCCAGTCTGGGCGACAGAGTGAGACTCCAACTCAAAAAAAAAGCAAAAATGTTATTATAGCTAATAAAGGCCTACCTTACATGGTAACTAGAATGCATTTGGTATGCTAACTATAATATCAAAGGAACCAAACAGATCCTTAAAGTTATAAATCTAACATATATCTATCTTACTTATAAGCAACCTTATAGCAAGATGTCCCTAAAAAAAATACCATACTAAAACTCAAAGATGTGAGCTGCTAGGAAGGATACACTCAGAAGTTGCCCTTAGTAACCTCTGAACGCTCCCACATCTCGTGTCTTTCTCACTTTGCATACTCCAGTGCCAAGCGGCTGTGGAGCTGGTACAATATTCTCCTGCTTCTACAAATAGCCCCAGACGAAGGCCTGCAGTGCCTGGAAATCAGGCCACACAAGAGAAGTCACATATTACAGAATAGAGTGATCTCTAAATATACAAGGCCAGCTAACAGTATTGAGGCCATTTCAACACATTCTAATCTCTGGTGGGTGCTTTCCAGTCTTTTTTTTTTTTTCCTTTGTTTTTTTATTTTTGAGTTGGAGTCTCACTCTGTCGCCCAGACTGGAGTGCAGTGGTCACTCCCAGCCACCACAGCCTTGACCTGCTGGGCTCCGGTGATGCTTCCGCCTCACCCTTTCAAGGAGCTGGAACTACAGGCGTGCGCTACCATGCCCAGCTAATTTTTGATTTATTGTAGAGATAAAGTCTCGCCTGCCAGCTGGGTCACGAACCCGCGGGCTCAGGCAATCCACTCACCTCAGCCTCCCATTACAGACTGAGTCACCGAGCCCGGCTCCAGTCTTTAACGTATGTGCACGCAGCATGCACCTGACCAGATCCAGCACAGTGAGAATCCACACATGGTCGGGCCTTGCACTGGCCCCACACCCCACCAGGTGGGAGTGAGGTGCCTCAACAACCACACTCTTTCCTCCTAGACCCCCAGCATCTTTCCACTAGGCAGGCATTTTCTTTTCCTTTTTCTTTCTTTCTTTCTTTTTTTTGAGTTGGAGTCTCCCTCTGTCACCCAGGCTGGAATGCAATGGCACGCTGCTTATAGGCACCACAGTCTCGACCTGCTGGACTCAGGCGATCCTTCTGCCTCAGCCTTCCAAGTAGGAACTTCAAGAATGTGCCACCAGGCCCAGCTAATTTTTTTTTTTTTTTTTTTTGAGTTGGAGTCTCACTCTGTCGTCCAGACTGGAGTGCAGTGGCCGCTCCCGGCCACCACAGCCTCGACCTGCTGGGCTCCGGTGATCCTTCCACCTCAGCCTTCCAAGTAGCTGGAACTACAGGTATGCACTACCACGTCCGGTTAATTTTTTGATTTATTGTAGAGATGAGGTCTCACTGCCCAGGCGGGTCTTGAACCCGCGGGCTCAGGCAATCCACTCACCTCAGCCTCCCAAAGGCGCGGGATTACAGGCTGAGCCACCGAGCCCGGCTCATTTTCCTTTTCTTAAGGCATAAAGGCAGTGAATATGAGTTAAAATAGCCTAGATGTGCATGAAACAAAAATAACAAGCAAGACTTGCCCCTCAAAAGTCCCAGAGGCAGCCATTGTTAGCAATTAAAATATATAGGGTTTCAGATCTCTCTCTCTCTCTTTTTTTTTTTGAGTTGGAGTCTCACTCTGTCTCCTAGGCTGGAGTGCAGTGGTATGCTCCCAGCCACCGCAGCCTTGACCTCTTGGGCTCCGATGATCCTTCCGTCTCAGCCTTCCAAGGAGCTGGAACTACAGGTGCGCGCTATTACACCCAGCTAATTATTGATTTATTGTTGAGACATGGTCTCGCCAAGTTGCCCGACTGGGTCTCGAACCAGTGGGCTCAGGCAATCCACTCGCCTCAGCCTCCCAAAGTGCTAGGATTACAGGCTGAGCCACCGAGCCCAGCCTAGACGTCTATTTATGGTGTCCAAATACACAGATACGGTTGCAGTGTTTTCTTGACTCAGCTTAAAATTAACAGAATTTTACTTTCCTTTTTTTTTTGAGTTGGAGTTTCACTCTGTCGCCCAGACTGGAGTGCAGTGGCCGCTCCCGGCCACCACAGCCTCACCTGCTGGGCACCGGTGATCCTTCCACCTCAGCCTTCCAAGTAGCTGGAACTACAGGTGCATGCTACCATGCCTGGCTAATTTTTGATTTATTGTAAA